CTGTTGCTCTCCTTGTGGAGATCCTGTTCCTTCCAGGTCTTTCTGTCTCCCCCTTCTTTCATAAGATTCCCTGCACTCTGCCCAAAGTTTGGTTATAAGTCTCAGCATCTGCTTTGATACACTGCTGGGTAGAGTCTTTCAGAGACCCTCTGTGGTAGGCTCCTGTCCTGTTTCCTGTTTTTTCCCTCTTCCAATGTCCACCCTGTTGAAACTGGATTTTTGAAATCCTGAGGACTTGAGAGCCTTAAGCAATTAAAGGAGAGACAGGAAGGAACACTTCAGTTTGAAACTTTATTATACATGGGTGGTAACTGCTGTTGTCACTAACATTCAACTGGGTGAAATGCACATAAATGTATTATTTATTTACCCAAGAGTTCATGTAGTCTAGAAATTCATTCTGAGATTCTAAATGCTTTCACCCAACAAAGCAGTGTGGGAAGATCTTTAATTAACACAGAATAAATTGCATTTTAGTAATCTGTGGGTTATTTGGCTGACATTCCACTTTAGGGTTGTTATTAAACAAAGAGTTTTTTTTTTTTTTTGCTGTTTTTGCTATCAAAAAAAAGAGAGATTAAAATAAGAAGGTACTTCTATGTTTTATTTCTGCATGTATTACTAAATTCTGCCTCCTGGAATAAACATTTAATGAAAAACCAGTCAATATACCTCATGGTAGTTCTAGCAAAATAGGTGCTAAATTTCTGGATATTTTGGGTTTGGATAGTATTTCTTTCTGAAATTGTTTGTCTTGGATCCACTGAGTCAGATGAATCATCCTTGCAGAACTCACAAAATATACACTTCGCAGAACTTAACCTCCTAAAGGATTGGCCTGTCTTCCCTAAGCAGACAGTTCATCTGTGGGATACTTAGCTTGAATGAAGGAATTTCTCAAAGGGAGAAGTCCTACAAAGAAAGCATCAAATGTCCCTCTGAAGTCTGAAATTCACTATTTTTTTTTCACTTGAACCATTCTTATGGTTTCCTACAGATTGTGAATTCCAAGATTCCTATGATAATATCCTCTTTAAGTAGAATCCACAAGGACTGGTTTGATCTCTTGCTCCTTGTCTCCCTCCTTACCTCCACCCTCCCCTCTCTACCTTTGTGAGCGTGTATGTGGCAGCTGGAGATTGATATCAGGCTTGATTGCTCTCTGCCTTGCAGATGGAGGCAGGCTCTTCCACTTGATCCCAGAGCACGCTGATACACTAGTCTAGTTACATAGCTCGTTCTAGGAACTCCTTGTCTCTGTCTATAGCATGCTGGACTACAGGTGGGCCACCACACATACCCTGTGGGTGCTGGAGGCTTGAATTTCAGACCTCATGTTTGCACAGCACGCGTGTGACCTACTGATGCATCGCTCTAGCCCAGATAATGCTCTTTTTCCCTTCTCTTAGAGGTGCTGGGTTTGGAATGCAGGATCTTGCATCATGCTAGGCAAACCAAACCTGTTGCTACTGACTTGTATCTATAGTTTTCCTTTAAAGTAAGTCATGATGAAATTAGTAAATAAAGGAAGCAGAATGTGTGCAGCGAAACCTTGTCAGTGCTGTGCTGTTTGTGTATGTAGGACAGGTGACATCAAAGTGGAAGCAAGTCATCTCCATTGGAGAGTTTTTTTTTTTTTGTGAGCCTTTTGAAGGTATGATAAATGATCTGTTCCTTTGTTTTCCTTTACCCCAGCCCCTTAGCTCCGTGGAAGTTAAAACAAATGATCAGGGTTTGAAAATGAAGAGCTTCCTCTAAGACTGTCTTTTCAGAGATCCCCAGAGAGACTCTGTGTTCTGAAGACACTCCAAACATCTAGGGTCTAGGAGCGTGGCTTGGTGGTAGAGTCTTTGCCTGGCACGTGTGACCTGTAGGTTTCAATCACCAGCACTGCAGAGAAAAGAACTATATCATGAGCCTGGATCATTCATGAATGGTGGCTGTTGCCAGGCACACCTCTGGATGCTTCTTTGTATTTTTCCACTTTACTAAGATCTAAGATTGGATGTAAAAGCTAATTTTAGCTTAGGGTGAAGGAAATTGAGGCCAACACTGCTTTGCCTTTTCCTCCTCCAAGGCCAAAACCCCAAACAAACCCAAACCAACCCAACCAACCAACTAAACAAAAAAAACCGCAAAACCCAAACAAACAAAAATACAAAAGCAAAGAAAAAATACCCAAGCCAGGCACAGTAGCACATGCCTGTAGTCCCAGCACTCAGAGAGGCAGAGGCAGGCGAATTGCCATGGGTTTAAGGCTAGCCTGCTCTACAAAGCGTGTCATGGATAGAGAAACTCTGTCTCAAACTCCTCCCCACTGCTGTAAAAAGGAAAAAGTACCCCCATCTATGGAAGCAGCTACAGTACCTTATCTGCTCTGTGTAGCTCAGTTGGGCCTGGCCTCCTGAGCACTGATATTAAAAGCCTTTGCTACAGTTTTGAGCTAAGATACAGGAACCGCAGGAAGAAAGCTTCTATGTTCTTGTTATGTCACGGACTTCCTGCTTATCCCTTTGAAAAGAAAATTCTATACCATGGTACCTGTAGGTCCATTTTGAATGTGTTCATTTTGTTGCATTTTTGTTCATTCAACAATCCTTGTGCCAGAACCTAGAGCAACGTAAATGACTGGCACTGGGCCTACAATCCCTGTAGTTTTAGGACAAAGTGGACCTGTAAGGCCATTACATCATATTATGAGGAGTCCTGTGAGGGAGATTTGGAGGGTTCTATATTGTTCTGTGGTGAAAACACAAGGAAGTTGAGTTGCCAACAACCAAAAAGCTAATTTTAGCCTGTGGTATGGCTTTATGGAGACCTAATAATCCTTAGAAGAAATTTAAGCTTTTAATGAATAAACTTCCCAATAGCTCTCTGACAGAGTGTTACAATTTTAACTATTGTTTTGGTGCTAGCATTGAACCCTGGGCTATGCATGCTAAGCACACATTTTACCACTGAGCTGTGCACCCAGATGAGCTTGCATTGGCTATCCTTTTCATATCTGCAAATGAACAAACAGATGTGACAGAATTCAGTTAGAAAGTCTACTCACAGAGCTGTTATCTAGTCCTTGAAAAGGTGAGGCTGAGGGACTGGCAAGGCGGCTTAGGAGTTAGGAGCACTGGCTGCTCTCGGAAAACCTGGATTCGATTCCCAGCACACACATGGTTACTCACAACGGTGGAAGACTCCGGTTCCAGGGAATCTGCTTCCTCTTCAGTCTTGACCTTTATTGTCTCTTTTTTCTCCCTTTATTGTTACTTTTCTTTTTTCCCTTTTAATTAATTTATTTTTTTATATATTACAATTTATTCCCTTTGTATCTCAGCTATAGCCTGCTCCCTTATCCCCTCCCAATCCCACTCTTCCTCTCTATTCTCCTCCCATGCCCCTCCCCGAGTCCACTGATAGGGGAGGTCCTCCTCCCCTTCCATCTGACCCTAGACTATCAGGTCTCATCAGGACTGGCTGCATTGTCCTCCCCTGTGGCCTGGAAAGGCTGCCCCCCTCAGGGGGCAGTGACCAAAGAGCAGGCCACTGAGTTCATGTCAGAGATAACCCCTGTTCCCCTTACTAGGGTACCCACTTGGATACTGAGCTGCCATGGGCTACATATGAGCAGGGGGTCTAGGTTATCTCCATGTATGGTCCTTGGTTGGAGTATCAGGTAAAATTGTTGATGTTTTTAATAGGAATGGAGTCTAATGATTCTAAATGATTGTACCATTTATCATTATAATAAATATCATGAGCTCATATCCATTTAGTTTATTTTAAATTCTGTGACTTTAGATTTTTCCAGATTTACATTTTCTGTGTTTCCCCCCATTTATTGAGTGCTTCTTAATATATAAAAATAGTTGTAGACCCTGCAAAAGGGATAGGAGGATAGATGGCCTTAAGGTGATCCTGGCCTTCGCTTGGGAAGTTTTGCTTAAATGAATATAAATGTTAGAGGCACAAGATACAACTGCCCCCTCTTTCTTCCAATTAAAATCTAGACTCTGTCGTCTTTGTTGTATTCAGTAGTAAACTCTCCGATTTAGAGTGTGTGCACTTAGAATAAGGATGCTTCCCTCACGTTCTGTTATAGTTTGTGTGAGTCAACGTTACATCCACACTTCCAATATTAGGTCATATGGCACCAAAATATTTTCCTATTAGAGGGCTGGAGGGATGCGGTAAGAGTATTTGATGATCTTTCTGAGGGCTTGGTTTCAGTTCCCAGGACCCACACGGTGACTCACAACTCCAATTCCATGGAATCTGATGCTGTTTTTTTGCCATTCTGGTGCAGCAAAGCATGCATCTCCTACATATCCACATGTGCAGGCAAAACACTTTTACACACACACACACACACAATAACATCTTTAAAAAAAAGCAAAAGTTTTTTTTTTTTCATATTGTGACAAAGTCAAGATTATATGTTAGTTGGGTTCAATGGTGCTTTCATTGTCTTGTGTTTCCAGACTTCTAATGTAGCTTGTAGTGGAGGTTGGATAGGACCTGAGTTTTGTAGGATGGAAGGCATTTTGTTAGAAGGAAAACTGAGCCCCACTGAGTGCTTAGCCTGTTTTGGTTTTGTTGGTCTTCAGAGTGTGTGTGTGTGTGTGTGTGTGTGTGTGTGTGTGTGTGTGCATATGTGTGGTTGTGCATGCGGTAGCCACAGACTGATGTTTGTGTTTTCCTGTATGGCTGAGTCAGCCGGGTTAGCTCTTTTTAGGTTCCAGGGATCTTTTCTTTTCCTCCCAGGGCATGGATCACAGGTGCATGCCAGCACGCCTGGCTTTCCTGCTGAGACTTAGGATCTGAACTGTGGTCCCGATGTTACACAGCAAGCGCTTTGCCAACCGTGCTGTGTCGCCAGCCCCCACTCTTGGTGCTTTAATGAATACCAGGATAATTACACATATCTTGCCTACTTGAATTACAGGAGATATACCGCACTGTCACCTCATTACAACTGATCACAAAATAATGTTTTTCTGTTGCAGAAATCCTGGATTGAAGGAGTATTTTACAAGAGAGAGTGTAACAAATTCATACCCAGCTCAAAAGACCCTCACAGGTACAGTTTTTCAATTATGTTCTTGTTTTTAGAAGCACTATGCTTCAAGTGCTGTTTGAAGAGATTTAGAAATATCACCTGTGTTTGCTGCTATCTAAGAAGTAAGGCTATTTACTCATTTCAATGAGTTTCATCCTTTACTCCATAAAAGTGTGCCATGAATATTACAGGAAGCCTAGAAAGAGAAAGGATTTTGGCAGTTACTTCATAATAGCCCCAGTGCCTCGCCAATATGTTCCTGTTAAAAGTCTATTTAAAGAAGTAGTCAACTAAAAAGAGGAAAAAAATTACATATAACAACAGCACTTGCTGCACTGTGGTGGATTCCACCCCATGTGGCACCCTTGGAGGCCAGACGGGTGTCATAGGGATATAAGGCTGTAGCTCACCAAGTTTGGGCAAATACTTTTTACTGTCTCCATATTGACTATTCAGAATGTTGTGACTATTCTTTATCTCAACGAAAGGATCCATGGGAAATGATGACTGTTGAGGACACATTAGGGACACTGTAGCGATCCAAAGGGGTCACCAGACTTCGTTTTATTTTCTTTCAGGGGCCTTTGGGTTTATGTAGATTGTAGGCAGCAGGGCTGAGTTAGAGAACTCTGAGTTCTGGACAACCCTATGGAAACTCTACTTGTAGAACAAAGTTCAACAAAGGCAGCTGGTGAGAAACAGGGGAAGAAAGGTCTACGGAAAATTCCTCAGGGTAATCAGGTCCATGAAGTTAGGACTGGATGTCATTGACCTGGTGGAAAATGGATAGGGAAATGGAAGATAAACATTTTAATTAGGGTAGCCAGTCTATTTTAAATTCCCTTGTGCCACTGGCCTTATATTCATTTAAAGTTTAGAAGTCATGAGTCCATGGAGAACATGGTAAGGTCCTTTGGCAAGGACTAAAATGGTGTTCTTTGTCTTAGTTAAACATTGACGAGTCCCACCCTCACTGAATCACCTATGGTTGGTAAACCCTGTGATTGGAAATTTTTATTTTACCTGTTTACAAAATGTTTATGGGATGCCAAGGTAACAGCCCTCCCCATTCATCTTTTATAGTGTCATGTGATGTGATGATAGGTGTAGCAAAGCAGACTGAGTTCCAAGACACTCCTCTCACTTTAAGTGGGAAATCATCTTCATAATCTCCTTGGACCCCAGGAAAACTGACAAAATACCAAGTGTGCTTAGCCCTACAATGCAAGGAGCATGTTGAATCTGGAGCAGACTTCAGTGTTGGGGCACATATATAGTGTGCCTGAGGCCTTGCCATCCATCTCCAGTATCAGAGAAAAGAAAACCATTGCCCCTGTATTTACTTTAAGATAGGGTATCAGTATGCGGCCTGGGTTGGCCTTAAATTCATCATTCTCCTGCCTCAGCTCCTTGGGTGCTGGTTCTACAGACACATGCCACTATGCTTGGCTCCACTGATCATAACTCTATGAAGGATCCAAGACTTCCTACGTGTAATAAAGGAAGAAAAAACAAGTTTCTATGTTTATGTGATTACAAAAATTTGATAGATGACTGTGGCCATTCTTCTCATACAGTTCATTTTTCTGGGTTCCAGTAAGGTTCTCAAGAAGCATAGTGTTTTTGACATTATAAATGGTAGTGCATTTGTCACCTTTCATCCATGTGACGAAATGGATGGGGGAAGCATTTAGGAAGGAAGGACTTATTTTGACTTTCAACTTCAGAAGCTCTCAGTACAGCGTGTAGGGTAGTCCACTCTGTCACCTGTGTGTGGCAAGATCTTGTTTACGTTGTTCAGACATGAAAACAGAAACTGTGGTTGGAAAGAGTAGTAAGTCATTACCTTCAAGGGCCTGCCATTAAGGGAAATATTTCTGCCAGGTAAGCCCCACCTCCTAAAGACTGTAACCTTCCAATAGCACCGCAAGCTGGGGATTGTGGGGCTGGAAATCAGCCTTCCAAAATGTTAGCCTGTGGTGGAGTCAGAGTCACACAATAAAACTAGCATTTCACTACTTAGTATCAACAAAAATTTCTCCCTTTTATTAAATCGTTTTTAGCTCCTAATAAAAAACAAATAGGCTTGGTTTTAACTTCCTTTTCTCTTTTTTACTTTACTTTTTAATTTTTTTAATTATTAATTACACTTCATTCACTTTGTATCCCTCCTGTAGCTCCCTCCTTCCTCCCCTCCCAATCTCTTCCTTCCTCCCCCTTCTCCCCACATGCCCGAATGCCTCTCCCCAAGTCCACTGATAGGGGAGGTCTTCTTTTCCTTCCTTCTGATCCTATTTTATTAGGTCTCAGCAGGAGTGGCTGCATTGTATTCCTCTGTGGCCTGGTAAGGCTGCTCCCCCCTCAGGGGGAGGTGATCAAAGAGCAGGTCAATCAGTTCATGTCAGAGACAGTCCCTGTTCTCCTTACTATGGAACCCACTTGGAGACTGAACTGCCATGGGCTACATCTGAGCAGGAGTTCTTTGTTATCTCCATGCATGCTACTTGGTTGGAATATTCCAGAATTGCTAAAACAATCCTCTACAATAAAAGATCTTCTGGAGGTATCTCCATCCCTGATCTCAAGCTGTACTATAGAGCAACAGTAATAAAAACTGCATGGTACTGGCATAGAAACAGAATGGTGGATCAATGGAACCGAATAGAAGACCCAAAAATAAACCCACACACTATGGACACTTGATTTTTGACAAAAATGAAAAAACCATACAATGGAAAAAAGATAGCATCTTCAACAAATGGTACTGGTCTAACTGGATGTCTACATATAGAAAAATGCAAGTAGATCCATACTTACCACCCTGCACAAAACTAAAGTCCAAATGGATCAAAGACCTCAACATAAAACCAGACACACTAAACCGCTTAGAAGAAAAAGTGAGGAAGAGCCTGGAACTCATTGGCACAGGAGACAATTTCCTCGACGGACCACCACCAGCACAGGCTCTAAGATCAACGATTGATAAATGGGACCTCATGAAACTGAAAAGTTTCTGTAAAACAAAGGACACTGTCGTCAGAACAAAATGACTGCCTACAGACTATGAAAGGATCTTCACTAACCCTATATCTGACAGAGGACTAATATCCAGTATATATAAAGAACTAAAGAAGTTAAAAAGCAACAAATCAAGTAATACAATTAAAAAATGAGGAACAGAGCTAAACAGTATAATCCATAGAGGAATATCGAATGGCTGAGAAACACTTAAAGAAATGCTCAAAGTCACTAGTCATCAGGGAAACGCAAATCAAAACAACCCTGAGATTTCACCTTACACTCATTAGAATGGCTAAGATCAAAAAACTCAAGTGACAACAAATGCTGGAGAGGTTGTGGAGACAGGGGAACCTTCCTCCACTGCTGGTGGGAATGTAAACTTGTACAACTACCCTGGAAATCAATCTGGCACTTTCTCAGACAACTAAGAATAGCGCTTCCTCAAGATCCAGCTATCCCACTCTTAGGCATATATCTAAAAGAGGCTCAAATACACAATAAGGACATTTGCTCAGCCATGTTTGTAGCAGCTTTATTTGTAATAGTCAGAAGCTGGAAACAAGCCAGATGCCCCTCAACTGAGGAATGGATACAGAAATTGTGGTACATCTACATAATGGAATACTACTCAGCAATAAAAAACAGGAAATCATGAAATTTGCAGGTAAATGGTGGGAACTGGAAAAGATCATCCTGAGTGAGCTATCCCAGAAGCAGAAAGATACACATGGTATATACTCACTTATATAGACATATAATATAGGACAAACCTACTAAAATCTGTACACCTAAAGAAACTAATCAAGAGGGAGGACTCTGGCTAAAATACTCAATCCCCATCCACAAAGGCAAAGAGGATGGACATCAGAAGAAGGAGAAAACAGGAAACAAGTTAGGAGCCTGCCACAGAGGGCCTCTGAAAGGCTCTTCCCTGAAGACTATCAAAGCAGATGCTAAGACTTATGGCCAACCTTTGGGCAGAGTGCAGGGAATCTTACGAAAGAGGTGGGAAATAGTAAGATCTGGAGAGGACAGAGCTCCCCAAGGAGAGCAACAGAACCAAAAAAATCTGAGTACAGGGGTCTTTCCTGAGACTGATTCTCCTTTTTATTTTTAAGAAAATACACAAAGGCTGAAAAAAAGAGAAATGAAGGTTAGAATGGCAGGTTCTGAACAGCTTATTTTATGAAAATAAAATTTTATGATCCTTATTTTATGAAAAATGTATATTTTTTCTTGTAAAAAAACTATGGTTTTTAAAAATTACTTTACACTGAAAATATGACCATTGATGACTAAATCCTGGAAGCTTTTCTGAATTGTAAAGAGGAAAATTAATAAGGAAATTAATTATACTTATATTAAGTCCTGAATCATTTTACAAATTCAATAAAATACTCATCAATATCTTGAAAGAATTTTCAAAGGATTTGAAAAAATTTATATGGATGTATATGTGTCTAGAAAAGGAAAGCAATTTTAACCCTTCTTTCTTTTTCTTTGTTTGATTTAATAAAGTTGTATTTTCCCAAACGCGCAACTGATTGAACTTGCTCATGCATCTTCGCTAGCAGCTGGGGCATCAACACCCTTTGTGTCTCTGGTGTAAATTTCTTGGGCTCTGTGCTTTGAAAGCAGCTTGATAAGTCCTTTACTCAGTAGCTCCTAAAGGGCTGCCCTGGCCAAAGAACTGGCTCTCTCAGAGACCACAGCTGGAGCAATAAGCTTATAGTTGGGAACTTCCTTGATTGTTGAGGTTGCCCCTAATTTTTCCTTTGGACCACTTCTTTTTGGCCTTGCCAACAGACTTACTTACTGGGTCTTTGTCTTTTTTGGCTGACTTTCTGGCATCCTTCTTCTTGTCATCCTTGGGCAGCATGGCGAAGCTCAGAAAGTGGTGACGACCACTACAGCCTCATTAAGATATTGGGGGAAAAAAGCTCTTTCCTTCTTTTATTTATTTATTTTGACACTAGAGATGGAGCCTAGGACTTCACAGAGTCCCAGCTAAGAAAAGTAGAATAGTATATGAAAGAAGACTAAGACATACAGGACTCTCTTTGGAGATGGCATGATGCATTACCAAGCAATAATGCTGAGAACTGGCCCTGGAGCTCTGCAGAAGAGCCTTGCATGTGCAAGGCCTTAGATTCCACTGTTAGCACTGTGCTGAACAAATAAGCCAATAAGCAAAGCAAACCAGACCAAATGAAACTAACAAAACAAATCAACTAAAACAAATGAAACCAAACCAAACAGAGTCAAAGCAAGCCAATTTAAACTAATCAAAGCAAGTAAATGAAACCAAACCCACAACCCAAACCAATCAAACCAAAACAAATTAACCAAACCAAACCAACCAAACCAACTAAACAAAACTAACCAAGTCAACTAAGCAGAACCAACCAAAAGAAACTAACCAAACCAAACCAAACTAACCAAATAAAACCGATCAAACTAACTAACCGCATAAGTAAAAAATACTCCTACAAAACAGTGTTAATGAAGCAGAGTGGCACTGGACAGGAGCACAGGTAGATCAACAACAGTGTTTGATCTGATATTGTTATACACACGTGCACACACACTGAGACAGTATCTCTTGTAGCCCAGGGTGGCCTGGAACGCAATATGTCACAGAGCATGACATTGAACTTCTGATCTTCCTCATTCCACCCCTGAAGTGTAGGAATTATAGCTGTGTGCCATCATACCCAGTTTATGAGGTACTAGGGATAGAACCCAGAGCCTCGTGTGTGCTAGGCAAACACTCGACTGACTGAGCTACATCGCTGGTCCTGTTTTATGGCTGTAAAATATTTAAAAATATGCTTTACTACTTGATTGCCTAGAGCTTTGGGTTATCTTCATTGTTTAGTACCTGGAATAACAATGATAATAGTGAGACCTAACCTGTGATGGTTGGCCTCCATCATCAACTTGATTGGATTAAATAACTTTGTCAGTTTGACTGAATTAAGAATCACCTACTGAATTAATGAGGCACACCCCTGGGTGTGTTTATGAGAGTATTTCCAGAGGGGTTTAACTGAAGAGGGAAGACCCACCCAGAACGTGGTTTGCTCATAGGCTAGTCTCAGAATGAATAAAAGGGGAAAGGTTGAGGATTACCATTCTTCTCTCTGGTGCCCGACTGCTGACACTGTGTGAACCGCTGCCTCACACTTTCACCTCCATGACCTACCATCATGATGGACTGTTTCCCCTCCAACTGTGAGCCAAAACAAACCCTTCCTTTTTTCCTAAGTCGCTTTTATCAGGTATCTTGTCACAGCAGTGGGAAGAGTAACTCATGTACTACTTCTATTACATTTACTGCAAAGCACCTGGGAGCATGAGCTACTTCAGATGAATTACTTAAGATAATCCTCTTTTATCACCTTACGGGGCTCATAAACTGTTCGAAATTATTTCTAAATGTGAGAGCTGAGGCTTAGAAGAATCGCTGCATCAATGGTATTCAAATTTAGGTATTTTGATTTCATAGTCCATGTATCGTTAATTTTTTAATTGTTCCTATAATTATGCACAAGGAATGCCACGGAAAGCAAACGATGCGTGGCTATTCAACAACTTTCAGACGGTGGAAAGTGATATTTTCTAGATTAGCATTAAGTTATTATCACATGTATTAGTAAACTAACAATCATTTTTATTTCTTTGACTCAGATGCACTCCAGGCTGCCAAGTCTGCCAGAATTTAGTCAGGTGAGACTTTGACAAATTCGTTTCCTTTTCTTATTAAGGCACTGCGTTAAGAAGTCCTTGGGAGGGTTTCTTCAGACCTCGAGAGCTTTTTTGGAGGTTCAAGCAGGGGCGCTCAGCTCCTCATAAATCTTAGCTTGAGGAACAGTCTCCTCTGTCAGGGAATGCTGTCACCTTCAGTGAAGCGCACAGCTCTGTGAGGGAAACCACGTACAGCGAGGGGGAAAGCAGACGCCTGTGTGCTGGCCAGATCATGGAAACAGCTCTGTTGATGAATGATGAGTGACAGATGTGTCAAGCTGCTCTCAGTGAGGGACTGAGACATCCAAGTGTAAGGCACCTGTTATTTTCCTCTGCAAAGGATGGAGGTACAAAAGGAATGTGTGGTGTGTGAAGGAGGGTACACACGTGTACATGTGTATTTTCGTGTTTTTTTTTTTTTTTTACTTGCTTGAACATGGTACTTGAATCTAGTAGAAATCCTGAGTCATTGAGACACTCGAACATCTTAGGGTATTTGACAAGAACTTTTACCACCACCTAAAACGTGTATGAAACATTACATTTTATTTTTGCTATTATGTTGTATTTGGATATAATGTAGCTCTTTGTTGGCTGCACAGTGAGGTCTTTGACATATGAGTTGCACGTTTCGTGTTTGCATAAAAACAGGCAAAACACCTACAGTGCACAAGAAACAAAACCGAAGTTTTTTTTTTTTTTTTTTGCTTCGCAAACTGTCATAGCGATGCACGTTTTCAAACAGGTACCAGCAAGTGGATTTACTGTTCTCTCTTGTCGGTAGAGCAAAACAAAACATCCTTATTTCCAACTATCCTCTAAAGTTTGTGGGCTTATCCAGTGTTAACTTTAACTCCTATTTTTTTTTTTTATTTTTATATTTTTAAATTTTGAGACAGCCTTGCAGTCTTGGCAACTTGTCTAGGGTAGCCTCCAGTTTCCGACTGTCTGGTCTCAGTCTCACTAGTAGGTGGGGTTCTAGAAGGTTGTCACCACCCCTGACTTACTGGTGTCTTATGTGGTGTTTTCAGGCAGGGTCTCTATAGCCTAGGCTGTCCTTAAAGCTGTTTTTTAGATGTTATTAAACTAGCTAAGGATAACCTTGGACTTCTGACTTTCCCTTCTCTACCCTGTAGGGCTGAGATTATTGGTGTAGACCACCACGCCTGGTGTTTGTGATACTAGATATCAAACCTGGGACTGCTTTCATGCTAACACAAGCACTGTTCCAGTGAAGCAATGTGTCTAGCCCCGGATTTGCATCCTTAGTGCTGAATGTTCGGGTTACTTAGTCATTTATAGTATTTTATAATTATGGACAGAAAAACTAAACAATTTGGTGCATTTATAAATCTACTTCTATCTGACTAGTATTTACTGTGTGGACTGATATGAGCATATAATATTATTTATAAATGAATATATGCATGTGGGGACCATGGTAAAGATTTATGCCTTTGCCAGTGTGGACTTCACATGTTTTACCATGTACCATTACCATTGAACATTTTGGAATGTAGATCCAAACCTATATATTATATGCCTGCTTATTTATAAATTATATAAATATATACTATATATTAATAAAGAGCTATAGAGCAAAAGGAAGAGATAGATGAAGAATATTGAAACATGTTATCAATAGAAAAAGCTTTTGTTTCCCTCACCCCAACTGCTTTTACTTAAAAGGAGGTGGAGTCACATTTGATGGCCTCTGTGGCCCAACTACTTATGAGGCTGAGGCAGTAGAATCACTTGCACCCAAACTAGGAGTTCAAATCTAGTCTGAGCATCCTGGTGAAATTCCATCTAAAATAAAAAGCCAAATGAACAAACAAAACAACAGAAAACGGAGAGAAGAAATAAAGTCCGATAATACATATTTAAGATGTTCTTTCATCGTGTGATTGACCGACTGTATATTCATGTTAAGAAGGAGAAGGACCAAATATATCTGGGCACAGGGTCTTTTCTGAGACTGACATTCAACCAAGGACCATGTATGGATATAATCTAGAACCTCCACTCAGATGTAGCCTGTGGTAGCTCAGTAACCAATTGGTTTCCCATAGTGAGGGGAACAAGGACTATTTCTAACAGGAACTCAATGACTGGCTCTTTGACCTCCCCACCCCTCAAGGGAGGAACAGTTCTGTTAGGCCACAGAGGAGGGCTTTGCAGCCAGTCCTGAAGATACCTGATAAAACAGGATCAGATGAATGGGGAGGAGGTCCCCCCATCAGTGGACTTGGAAAGGGGCACGGTGGAGATGAGGGAGGGAGGGAGGGACTGGGAGGGAATGAGGGAGAGGGACACGGCTGGGATACAGAGTTAATAAAATGTAATTGATAAGAAAAAAATAAAATCATAAAAAAAAGAAAAGGAAAAAAAAAAGGAGAAGTAGGGACTGGCGAGATGGCTTACTGGGTGAAGGGGCTTACTGTCAGGTTTAGTGAGCTGAGCGTGAAAATTTGAGAGTTATGAATATGTGACACCTAGACATCATTCTGAGGATTGGAAACATTGCGCTGATTTTCTCCTCTGAGTGACTTGTTTTCCTGGGTTTAGGTGTTACTGTGGCCGGCTGATTGAAGATCATCATGGGATGGACTTCGCCTGGGACCTCCCAGCGAAGGAAGGCGATGGCAACGAGCAGTGGTCTGTTGAGAAGCACACAACAAAAAGCCCTACAGATGCCTTCGGCACCATTAATTTCCAAGATGGAGAACATATCTACCACTCTAAGGTCTGCCGATAACCCAAAGCATTTCACTAGTTTTGAACAAAAGAGACCCTGCAAATGTCCTTGTAAGGACAGAGAGTCACGTGATGTGGCTTTATTGAAAGGAAATTCATGTCATTGATCCCTTGTCAGATATAGCCCCGTCCTCTCTTCTTTTAGGGATGGGGGGGTGTTTGCATCCCAGGTGTAGGACTAGGTCCGGATGAGTGAATGGTTGACGGTTTAACTAGGTCATGGCACAGTGGGGACCAAGCTGAGCTGAGGCTGCTAGGAGAATTGTGAGCCCTCTGCTTGTTAGTCCCTTGACACGCTGAGGGTAGTTAGATGACAGGTTCAGAGAGTTCATCACCATTTTATTGTTAGGTGGTTTGTGCATTATGGAGTCCAGGTGAGGGTGTTATACCCTCTTTTTTTTTCAATTTGGTGTGTCTAATAAATTCTCACTTTAATACAGCTCTGTGCTTATATTTGGCCTCAGTTAACTTTATAAATTTACAGAGTGGCACCTTTAAAAATTTTAGGGCTAAATGCATCAGCCTGTGCAGTTTATGTGGCCATCAAGGTGATGTGTCATCCTCCCTGTGCATTTACAAGCAAAGCGGAGTCAAATGAGGCTTGTAAAGTGGAATCGCCTGGGTGAGATACAGCCTGTAACTCTAGGGTTTTACACGACATGCAGTGACTTTGCTCAGGGCACAGCAGACAGGAAGAAGTAGGGCAGAGGGACAAAGGTGACAATATCTGCTCAGGATGCACCCAGTGACCTGACTTCTGCCCACAGGCCCTACCTTCTACAGCTTGTACCGTCTCCCACCAACGCCACAGGCTGCGCTGTGGGCCTTTAACGAAGTGCTTTTCCCAAAAGCACATACTGCAGATCCAAACTGTAGCATACAGTGTTAATAGGTCGACTGTCCTTCGGGCGTTCTCTTCTGAGAACGTTAGTGGCCTGCTGTTTTCTTAACAGCAGATTTTCCAGGTGGAGCCACCTCAGGGGAGCTGAGTGCCAATCATGTTCTGCGGGTGACTGTCGGAAGGCTGGATTTAAACGGAAGTTCCTTCGTAAGGTCGCAGTGCAGTTTCTAGAGGAATCTACAGCCTGATTCTTAGATAGTCCTGTGTGCAATTTTTTCTTTAAGTTTGATTCTCCCTCCTTTTGCTGTTTTTTTCCCCCTAAGATATTTGTTTGTTTGTTTATTTATGAATGTGTGTCTGTGTATGTGTGTGGCACAGGTATGTGGGGCTGGTGGAGGCCAGAAGAAGGCACTGGAAGCCCTAGGTCTGGAGTTGCAGGTTGTTGTAAGCCACCTACAGTGGGTGTTAAAGACTGAACTCTGGAAGAACAGCAGATGCTCTTTACCACCTAGCTATTTCTCGCTTTCTTTCTCCTCTCTCTGTCCATATGTCTGTCTGTCTTTTTCTCACTGTTATTGTTTGCTTGTTGCCGTCCTGGGGAAAGAACAAAGCCAAGAGCTCATTATTGCACCACAACCCCAGGCACTATTCATTCTCCACCACCTTCACTTACTCCTTTTTCTTCGCATTCATTGCTTACTGTGTACCTATGTACTCCCTATGGTCCAAAGAGAATAGTTTCCCTGTATTAACATTGTTTGGCATTTGGGGTGGAAATAAACAATAAATACACAGGCCCCACAGAAGTGGAAGAGGCTATGAGAATTTAACACAGGTTCTTTGAGAGAATGTGCAAAGAGATAACCCATTCAGTGAGAGGACACGGTGGGCAATGAGCAAGGCATTCAAAAGTAGAGAAAATAGGCTCCAGTGTTAAGCTGAGATCTGAAGCTTACCCAGGTGAATGGGCCCAATGGAGCACCATGGGTTGGCTTGTACAAGTGTCAAAAAACACTCAGAAAAATTGAAAATAGAGCTAGTCATATCTCCCGATGATTAGCTTTTTTTTTTTTTTTTTGAAAACAAACAAGTTGGTTTATTTTCAGTGTATGGATGCTTGCCTGCATGTATGTCTGCATCGCATATGTGCCTGGTACCCATGGAGGTCAGATGACATCATCAGATGTCCTGGAGCTGGAGTTGCAGGTGGTTGAAACTCTTCGTTTGGATGCTAGGAATTAAGGACCTGCATCTTCTGGAAGAGCAGCCAGTGCCCTTTACCCCTGAGCCATCTCTTCAGCCCTACAACTAGCTGGTTTTAGATTTGGCTTTTGGCTGTCATTACAATGTGTTTACCTGAGTGCGTTTATTACTCTCAGCAGGGCAAGGCTGTCTGGGCCTCTTCTATCCTTCTGGTTCATGTTGGGCAAGACGAAAGCTTGAGGCAGACTATCTTTTGTGTCTCTCTATTACAGTTCCTGTCCCAGAATCCCTTCCATCTTATTATACAAAGGAGAACCTGAGAGAATCTGCCTATTAGGTTCTGCCTGGGGTCGGGGGAGTGACTTCCTTAGAAAAGAAATAGAAGAGAGGTGTTCAGTTGGGCTTCCGGCTGGAAGAGGCCAGTGCAAATAATTTAGTTCTTCATCAGTGTTTATCCAAGGAGCAGGATCTCTTTGGATAGTATGTATGGATAGTGCAGGGAGGATTTAGAGTTGAAGACAGGTTCACCTGAGAGAAGACTTGGGGCTCAGGATGGTGAATGGAACCCAGGCTGTTCCTTTGCCTTCACCCACTTATCTCAGCAACCAAACCAGCTAGTAAGGTTCTGCTTGTGGTTTTCCCGCTACTGTAGTGTGCTGTAAAGCCTGGCATCTCGGTGGCACCTCTCACACATGGGATCATGATCAACCTTCTAGTCTTCCTATTATGTATGTATTATGATAGCTGTTGGCCAGAAATTCTAGTATTTTAATCATGAAATGAAATGGTCTCATAGTAGCAAGTTGAAAGGCAACTAGTAAACTACTTTCAGTTGCTATCATCAGTTTAGAGGCTACTGTGCTCATTTATAATTGCTTGTATGGAGAGTTCCACCCATAGACCTGTAATTCATGATTTCCCTTTTTTTATCATTTTTATTTTTTATATTAATCACAGGTTATTTACTTTGTATCCCAGCCGTAGCCCCATCCCTCATTCCATCCCAATCCCACCCTCCCTCCCTCATCTCCTCCTTGCCCCTTTCCAAGTCCACTGATAGGGGAGGTCCTCTTACTTTTCCATCTGACCCTAGCTTATCAGGTACCTTCAAGACTGGCTGAGATGTCCTCCTCTGTGGCCTAGCAAGGTTGCTCCTCCCTCGGGGTGGTGGGAGGTCAAAGAGCCAGCCATTGAGTTCATGTCAGAAATAGTCCCTGTTCCCCTTACTAGGGTACCCACTTGGATACTGAGCTACCACGGGCTTCATCCGAGCAGGGGATCTAGGTTATATCCATACATGGTCCTTGGTCGGGGAAACAGTCTTATAAAAGACCCCTGTGCCCAGATATATTTGGTCCTTGTCGAGCTCCTGTCCTCTCCTGGTCATACTAACTCCCCCTTTTTTCATATGATTCCCTGCACTCTGCCGAAGTTTGGTTATGAGTCTCAGCATCTGCTTTGATACACTGCTAGGTAGAGTCTTTCAGAGGCCCTCTGTGGTAGGCTCCTGTCCTGTTACTTGTTTTCTCCTACTTCCAGTGTCCATCCCATTTGTCTTTCTAAGTGAGAATTGATCGTCTTACCCTGGGCCCTCTTTCTTGTTTATCTTCTTTAGGTGTACAGATTTTAGTATGTTTATCCTATCTAATAGGTCTAGTACCCACTTATAAGTGAGTATATACCGTGTGTGTCTTTCTGTTTCTGGGATACCTCACTCAGGATGATCTTTTCTAGATCCTACCATTTGCCTGCAAGTTTCATGATTTCCTTGTTTTTAATTGCTGAGAGCCAGCCTTTCTTTTCATAGTGCTGGCTTATCCCTGCTGTTGGTTGGGATTCTGTTTGAGGAAGCCGAGCTCTCCTCACTGTGCAGAACTTAAGTGGCCTGTAGCCAGCCATGTCAGTAATGTCAGACCAGATGCAGTGAATCAGTGGAATTCCCTGGTATGACTTCACTGATTTTTTTTTTTTTTTTTTTACTCGCACTCTCACAGATGAGGGTACTTATTTTGAAAAGAAAAAATTCTCAGAGAAATAATTGCATGCAAGCAAATGATTGGCAGGTACATTAAAAAGATACTGTACATCTTAATGAATTTAAAAATTTTTTACAAATACATGAGAAGAATCAAGTAAATGCAAAGTCATGGCATTGATAAAAAGTCTCGTTTCATCTGCTTTATAAATCTCTCTACAAATGGCTTTGCTGATGCACTGATGAAGTATTTTTGCCTCACCTCTAGCCTTCTAAAAAACTGTCAAGGCCAAATCTCCAACTGGAGGAAGCTTCCCTGTAGTGATTTATAATTCACAGAAGGAAGTTGGAGGGAATGTGGAATCTTTAAGAGCAAATATTGCCATTAGGTGAAGTTAAACTTTGAGCGAGTTCCTGGACATGTCCGGCCAGGCTGTGGCCACCTTAGCAGCCCTGCTGTGTGTTTATTGTCTCTACTTACTTTGTTTCCCTGTGTTCTGTTCATGGGTGTGTGCTGTCCTTCCAGTATGTTAGAACTTCTTGTGATACAGAACCGGATCATCTGTTGCATTTAATGTTGAAAGAATGGAATATGGAGCTGCCGAAGCTTGTGATCTCTGTCCATGGGGGTCTCCAGAACTTCAAGATGTCCTCCAAGATCAAAGAGACCTTCAGCCAGGGTCTGGTCAAAGCTGCAGAGACCACAGGAGCATGGATAATTACCGAAGGCATAAACTCAGGTAAATCTCATGCCTGACTCCCTACCTCTCTCCTTTTCCTTTCTAACTGTGTGCCAGGTGGCCTGATATTGAATCTCTGCTCTGCAGCATTCACAGGACATGTGGTGATATTAGGGAGAAAGACAAAGCAAAGCAAACCAAAACACCCCCACTCCTAACATAGTGGTCTCTGAACCACCTGCCTTCACATCAGAATTAATCTGCAGGGCATTTTACTGGTACATTGGAGAATGGTAGAATGGTGCATGAAACATTCCAGCAAGGCAAGAGTAGTGTCTAGTGTTAGCAATTGGTCAAGGAAGAGGAGAATTATTCAGGTCCTTGTTCAGGGGTAAGAGGAAGAGAGGTTAAGAGAGGAGAGAGAGAGAGAGTTAAGAAGCTAGCACCTAATCCATTGTGCTAGCAGCCTGCCTTAAAAATGATGTTTTACCTAGGATCCTCTATTTGTATCTGTGAGAGTCACTGTTTAGCATGGTCTGTGAGCTGAAATTCTATTTCTACTCTGGTTGTTTTATAGGCGTGTCCAAGCATGTTGGGGATGCCCTAAAAGCCCATTCCTCTATGTCTTTGAGGAAAATCTGGACAGTTGGAATCCCTCCTTGGGGTGTAATTGAGAATCAGAGAGAACTGATTGGAAAAGATGTGAGTAGACAATCCTTTCACTCGCCTATCATCAGTTTAGAGGCCACTGTGCTCATTTATAAAGGAAATGAACATATCTCTGAAATGCCTACTTTACAATGTACCCAAACATCTGATAAAATACCTCAAATGTGATAAATCCCAAACATCTGCCTTCCGCCTATAGCTGTTACCCTGTCTCACAAGATGCCAGTCCCATTTTGCTACTGCCCAAGCCAAAAAAAATTTGGATTAAGTTTATAACAACCTCAAATGGAACCCGTCAGTCAATTCTCAGCTCCAACTTTGGAATATTTCCAGAATCTGACTCTCCCCTCTACTGCCAATCCAAGTGGCCATGCTTTGACATTCAAATTCTTGTAAGAGTTTTCCTTTCTCTTACTCTTGTTGTCTGTTATAGTCTAGCCTCAATGCAAAAGCAGACAAATTCCTATAAAATGTAAATTGCAGCATGTTAGTCTCTGTCAAGTTCTGGACAGTGGGTCCATTCTTCACACAGCCAATGTACAGAGCCTTGCAGTATTTTGCAGAGTGCAAATCACACTCTTTAGTTGGCCCTTTCTAGTTTTCTTCCCCCAGCTTACACTCTGTTCTGCTTTGTGCATTCTTGTTTAGTGATTTTTTTTTGGTGTGAGTAATAATGAGTGTGTGTGTGTGTGTGTGTGTGTGTGTGTGTGTGTGTGCATACAGGTGCACATATATTATGTAGACTTGTGTGGAGGCCAGAACACAACCTGAGTGTTGTTCCTCAGATGCCCTACATCCATCCCCAATGTTTTTCTTTTAAGACAGAGTCTCCCATTGGCCTGGAGCTCACTGAGTAGGCAAGGCTGACCAACCAGAGAACCCTAGGATTAACCCTGTTAATTCTCTCTCTCCAGTGCTGGAAGTACAAATATGTACCATCATGCTTGGCTTTTCTCCCACCTCATCTTCCTCTTCTTCTTTTAAATGTGCATTCTGGTGATTTAATTCTTTGCTATATAAACCATCTCTCCAGATCTGTGTATGCTTCTATCTGTGTTTGTTGGAAGAGAATGGACTGCCTAAACTATGTATAAAGCACATGTGTTTTATTGTTGTTAAAAATATAATACATTAGAAAAAGACATAAGAAGATAGTTACTGATAATGTTTTGGCATGCTATTATTGCAGATTTGCTTACATATTTGAACACATGTAGAGTTAAAATTTTTGTTGTGTGTGTACGGGGGCGTGTATGACTCTGGGAACATGAGTGTATGTGTGTACTTTCCCCTGGGTGCGTCTGTGGAGGCCAGAGATCAATGTCAAATGCATTCTACTGGTCTTCACTTCAGTTTTGGAGAGTCACTTGACCCCAAAACTTGCTGTTCGGCTAGGCTGTCTGTGCAGGAGGCCTCACAATCTATCTGTCTGTCCCCACAGCACTAGTGTTGCAGATCACATCACCACACCTGGCTCTTGATGTGGATGCTGGGCATCTGAGCATAGGTCCTCACGCTTGCGCAGCAAGCATTTTATCCACTGAGCCATTGCCGGAGTCTCGAAAATATGTATTTCTAAAAAAAGCAATGATAGAATCTTACACTATGAATCTGGTATTTGTTGTTTGATTATTTATCAGTCATTTTCTCATGCCAGTTAATGTAGACATGGTCATAGTTTATTCCTACTTTTATTTTGGAAAAGTCACACATATTAAACAGATGCGAGGTTAGAAACATGAATTCTTGTATACCATTTCCCAGCTTTAACAGCTATTAATTTGTTGTCCTATTTTGTTTCATTTATTCTCTTATACATTTCCAAATAATGGTGTTTATATTTTGGAGCAAATTCTCGATATGCAACAATTGTGCCTGCAAAATAAGTATTTTCAAACTTCTTTTTAATCAACTCACCAAGTAGTAGGGTCCCACAGGACTTTCCCCATACATCCTTAGTTTTGTTACCTCTCACATCTCTTTTTATAGTTTCCTCCCCCATGTCCAGCTTAAACCTTTCACCTCCAGAATTTCCTCCCTCTACTCTCATATCACATCTGTCCTAGTATCCCTTCCCTGCCACGCCAGCCCCAACTCATGTTCCCTTTCTTGGTCCTTTGCCTCTACATGCATTCAATCCAGCTTAAACAAAAAGATCCAAAACAAAAACAAAAACAAAAACAAAAAAATAAAAAACAAAAAACCCCACCACCACCACACCACCAACAAAACCTCTGAAGCTATATATAAATGAAAGCCAGAGTTGGCCATCTTTTATTTTCACACTTTCCATTACAACCTTTAAAGTTGATATGTTTGCTTATATGACCTTTGTATAAATTTATCAGGTTTGCTGCTTTCAATACTATGGAATACCATATTCATCATTTTGTAGAAAACAAATGACAAAATTTATATTTTTAAAAGTCTTCTCCCATTCACTGCACCTTGGCCACAGTTTCCCTCCCTCCACTCCTCACAGTTTTTCCAAGTCCGTCTTAAAATAGAGATTTTGTTTTGCTTTCTTATTTTTTTTTTATCCCAAATTCCTTCTAAATATAGTATGGTCCCATGCAGAAAACAGATCATTAATATGTGATTTGGGTACTGTTTATGAAGTGCATTTTTACTACCCACCACCATCAGCACTTCCAACACACACACACACACACACACACACACACACACACACACACGCACGCGCACACACATGCAGACACACACACACCCTATGCAGTTAAAGCCCAGCTCTGTCACTTTCCATGTCTCTGTGAAGGTGACAATGGACTTTAATTATTGTGTCTCTGTTTTGTTAACTATCACATGCACATAACCACTGCAACGGAATTCTTCAGATAGCATAAGTACAGCAAATAATTTTTGCTGTTTCATACTAAGAGATGTTAGATTGCTTTCGACTTGTTATTCATAACTGAAATTTTCTGAGTTTGACAAAGGGATTGATCATTAACTTAGTGTCAAAAATTTAATGAACAGTGTAATTTTTAGGTTTAAATACAAACAATAAAAATTTGAAGGTAGGATCTGCAAATGAGGGAGAATATGCAGTGTTTGTCTTTCTAGTTCTGGGTGACTTCAGCCAGTATGATTTTTTTCCCCAATTCCACTTATTTCCCCACAGATTTCATTTTTATTCATAGATGAATAAAACTCCATTGCGTGTGCACGTGGAAGTTTTATTATCTATGGCTAACAGTCTGGATCTGTTTCCTAGATGTTGTAACTACAGCACCAATAAGTGTAGGTGTGTAGGAACCTCTGTGGTAGGATGTAGAAGATGCAGAATCCTTTGGCTTTTTATCCAGATATGGTATTGTCTAGTCATAGGATAGTTCTATTTTTTAAAAAATGTGTTTTGAGCAACTTCCACATTGATCTCCATAGTGACTACCTCAGTTACATTCCCATAAGCAGTGAAGAAGCATTCCTCTTCCCCAATATCTTCAGCAGAACTTGTGTTCTTGATGACAGCCATTCTGATTGAGGTGAGATAGAATCCCAAAGTAGTTTTTATTTGCATTCCCCTAATGGCTGAGAATGCTGAACAATTTAAAAATATTTATTGCTAGTTTGTACTTCTTTTTAAACATTCTTTGTCCACTTCTATAAGCCATATTTGATTGGGTTGTTTGGCTTTTGATGTTTAGTGTGTTAAATTCTTTGATTGCTCCAAATATTAATCCTCTATAGGATGTGTAGGTGGTAAAGGTTTTCTCCCATTCTGTATGCTGCCTCATCACTTGATTAATTCCTTTGTTGTATAGAAACTTCGAAATTTCACGGGGTTCTATTTGTCAATCATTGGTCTTTTTTTTTCTGAGTAATTAGAATTCTAGTTAGAAAGTCCTCCCCTTACCTATACCTTTTTGTTTGTTTAGTTTAGTGTTTTTTTTTGAGACCGGGTTTCTCTCTGTAGCTAGGGCTGTCCTATACTCTCTTTGTAGACCAGGTTAACCTCAAGCTCATAGTGATCCTCCCACCTCTGCCTCCCCAAGTGCTGGGATTATAGGCATGTGCCACCATTCTCATCTCCTTACTAATATCTTAAAGTGTTCTTTCTATATTTTTTTTCACAAGTTTTTGAGTTTCAGGCCTTACATTAACATATTCCTAAGATATATGGCCAATTTAAGAAAATATAATTCATAAAATATAGGATAAACATACTAAAATCTGTACACCTAAAGAAGCTAAGCAAGAAGGAGGACCGTGGGTAAGATGATCAATCCTCACTCAGAAAGATAAACAGAAGACATTGGAAGAGGGAGAAAACAGGAAACAGGACAGGAGCCTACCACTGAGGGCTCCTGAAAGACTCTATCCAGCAGGGTATCAAAGCAGATGCTGAGACTCATAGCCAAACCTTTGGCAGAGTGCAGGGAATCTTATGAAAGAAGGGGGAGATAGAAAGATGTGGCGGGGACAGATGCTCTACAAGGAGAGAAACAGAACCAAAAAATCTGGGCCTAGGGGTCTTTTCTGAGACTGATACTCCAACCAAGGACCATGCAAGGAGATAACCTAGAACCCCTTCACAGGTGTAGCCCATGGCAGCTCATTCTCCAAGTGGGTACTCTAGTAATGGGAACAGGAACTGACTCTGAGATGAACTCAGTGGCTGGCTCTTAGATCACGCCTTACTGAGGTTGGGGGCAGCCTTACCAAGCCACAGAGGAAGACAATGCAGCCAGTGCTCATGAGATCTGATAGGCCAGGGTCAGATGGAAGGGGAGGAGGACCGCCCCTATCAGTGAACTGGGGGAGGGGCAAGGGAGGAGAAAAGGGAGGGAGGGTAGGATTGGGAGGGGATGAGGGAGAGGGCTACAGCTGGGATTCGGAATGAATAAATTGTAATAAATAAAAAATTTAAAAAATGCTGGAAAAAGAAAATACAATTACAATACTACTAACATACCTAAAATTAACAATAAATCATGATGTCCAGTGAAATCAAATTTTCATTGTCTCATAGTCTGAAATTTAGTCTATATTCATTGTACAAAATAATGGACTTCATCATGTAAAGTCCATCTTTACACATGCATATAAGGTATCTTGCTTATACTTGTCCTCCCTTGACTCTCATTTGTCTTCCATCCTTCTTATCTCTTTTTATCTTCCTCTTCCCAAGAGTCTTCTTCAACTTTAATGTCTTTAAAATCTAAATCCAATATACTTTCACAGTATTAGAAAAGGGTTGATTTTACTAACCAACAATGTTTCATATATTGTGATAGGCCAGGACATCCTTTGGTTCTCAATTTTTCTATTGACCTACTATTATTAATCTTTCCCCCCTCTGGTTTATTGAAGAAATTGAGCTATTTGCCACAAAGTTTCCCACAGTTTGGATTTTCCAGATTTCATCCATCGAAGCAGGCTTAGCATGTCTTTTGTATTTTGTATTTCTCAATTGCTGGTTTGATCTTCAAGTATGATCATACTCAGATTTTTTTTTTTTTTTGGTGCAAACTTATGTCTTGAGAGGAGTTGTGTTCCTTTTATGTATCATGTGATATCTATTTATTATTTTTCGGCAACTATGCCTAGATTCATTTTTCAACAGCAATACATCCTCTTTAGGGTTCTTTTGTGGCAATTAAGAACATGACTAAAAACAACTTAGAGAGAAAGGCTTTATATGGCTTACAGGTTACATTATGTTCTTGTGGACTGCATACACTTGACCCTTGTTTATTCACATGCTGATTTCTCTCCCCCACTATCTGGTTTCAATCCAGACATTGCATTGTGATGTTTATTTTAAGCATCACCTGTCTCAAGTTTGTGTAACTATGCTACCATTTGTTCTCTGTATTGCCAATAAAACCAACCAGCCAAAGCTGAGCAATGGAGAGACTAGGGTGGGACATCCTGGTCCGGTGAAGGGAGGAGAGGACCTGGAAATATCAGGAAAAATGAACTGGACCTACGATATGACTAAAAAGCAAGTATAATGTGCAAAATCTGAGTGGAAGGAAGCTCTGTGGGCTTGGAGGTTTAGGATGGAGTAATTATTGCCCAGCATTGTGCTCTAGGTTAATTAAACAAATCCTAGTCTCTGTATGATGATTTGGGTATACAGCTGGTTAAGGAATAACCACTGATTTACTAAAGTATAAATCAATATTAAATATCATAACTGTTCAACAGTCCACCACTAGTCAGTCACTGAAGCAGCATGAAGGAACACTGAATCTTGCCTCACTCCTTCTGACTTGCTCAGTTTGCTTTCTTCTGCACCACAGGACCTTTTGCCCAGGGATGGCACCACACATCATTGGCTGGACTCTACTGTATCTGTTAACAATCAAGAAAATGTCTCATGGGCTTGCCTACAAGCCAATCTGATGAACGCATTTTGTTAATTTGGGGCTCTCTCTTCTGAGATCACTCGAGCTTGTGTCAATTTGACAAAAAAACAAAAAAACAAAAAAACAAAAAAACAAAAAAACAAAAAAAAAACCCTAACAGGCTACAAATCATATTTAATTATAGCATTATTTATAGACTTTTTAGCTTAAACACCCTATAAAGAGAAATGTTTTTCATTAACATCTGTTTTATCTCGTGGTACATGAGAATACGGGAAGAGCAAAATAACATCTGGTACCTTATTTGACAAGTTTTCAAAACCTTGAAATGCTCACCTGTCATCCCTCAGAGGTGAAAAATGGCTTTGTTTTAAGCTCATGAGGTTAAAGCTATTTGAAGTGTTCCGGTTCATTCATCCTTGTGACTGATGGATGATTCATGTTCAAAGGTATCATTTTGTCAAATAGAGCCTTTTTGGATCCGGAGTACTTCAACAAAAATCCTATCTTCTCTCACAACTTTCTTGCTTTCTAATTTGAAGAAAGGCATTCTTGGCTGGTTGTCCATGTTTTTTTTTTTTTTCTTCCTAGAAAAATTTCTTGTTGCTTTTTGTGAATGTTCAATCTGTGGGCTATGACTTTTCACGGCTAATAGTTTTCCGTTGTACTGTAATTGAGTCAATTATCCCTCTGACTGTCCAGTTAGGTAGTTTTCTGTTTCTTAAATTTTCAGCCAATAATATTAATATTGTAATAAAGTACTAGATTGTTTATTTACCTAGAAATAATTGGAGCCAGTTGTGTACATTGACACATTGCCTTCTAGAGAGTGGCATAAATTTACATTTTACTAACAAGGTGCAATGGAACTCATTTTTATGTAACCCTTCCTCACTATTTTGACAACTATAGAACAATAGCCAATTATTCTGATTTATATTCTCTGATTGCTTATGAGGTTTATTATCTCTGTATATTTTTATGCACTACTATCATTCAGCTCAGCAATATAATTGTCAGCATTTAGCATTGCTCCCAGTTTTTATTTTGCATTATTTATTGTCACTTTCTATAAATACAAAACATTTAGTAAACCTACCAGTGATTTTCTTTTTGGTTTATGGCCATAGTATTATGCTGTGGAATTGTAGAGTTAACTGTTAAAGTCTAATGCATCTTAATTTTTTTGAAGTGTCACAGAAACCCTGTGATATTGGAATGACCATTATCTTCACTTATACATGAGAAAAAGGGAGCTAGAAATTACTCAGACTTACCTGATAAGCTAGGATTAGATGGAAGGGGAGGAAGACCTCCCCTATCAGTGGACTTGGAAAGGGGCAGGGAGGAAATAAAGGAGGGAGGGTAGAATTGGGAGGGGATGAGAGAGGGGGCTATGGCTGGGATACAAAGTAAATAACTTCTGATTAATATAAAAAATAAAAATTATTTAAAAAATAATAATAAATAAAAAAGAATTAAATAATAAAATAATAAATAGAACATAATAATAATAATAAATATAAAAAGAAATTACTCAGACTTAAAATTATCCTGGGCTTACACTTGTTAATAAGAAGTGCAGCAGCTTATTTACATTTTTCATAAATGTAAAAATGTCCTTGATGCCACATTGCTGTCTGCTATCCTTCATTTCCTTTGGGATATGTGAAAAAAATAGTGCCAAAATGTTATTCTGAAGCATCCTGGAACAAATTTTGATTAGTGGAGTAGTCTATGGACTGGTGCCCATCCTTGAACTAAACTTCAGTGGTTAGAAAGAAGGTAAGTGCCAAAAACGAGAAGCTAGTATTTAGAACCATTTTAGTAATATGACTACGATGGCATCAAAGCCCGCAGTTGTGTGCTTATGCTGCTGAACAGGGTAATGTAGGTGTGGGTGTTGCTGAACTTGTCATTCTCATGCACTGTGGGGTACGTGTTAATGTAGGACCTCATTTGATCTGTAAGGGTAGGGTTTTGCTCTGTGACGTCTGGGGAAGGACTTGGAGCCCTGATGCCCTCTTGTCCTTGCTGTCTCTCAGGTGGTATGCATGTACCAGACTCTGGGTCACCCGCTCAGCAAGCTCGCCACCCTCAACTGTATGCACTCTCACTTCATCCTGTGTGATGATGGGACTGTGGGCAAGTATGGCAATGAAATGAAGCTCAGGAGGAACCTGGAGAGCCATCTCTCAATGCAGAAGATAAACAGCTGTAAGTTCCCTCAGAGCTCAGCATCTGGCTGTGGGCTTGCTAGTGGATATGGTGCCTCCTTGTCGTCTGTCCTGGGTGGACAGACCTAAGGGGTTTGCTGCCTGAGAGCAGCCAGAGCAGCCAGTTAACACGTGTGTGCCAAAACATAGGAGAAAGCAGGATGTAGGCTTGTACAGAATTGCTGGTGGCATTAGGACAGAGGCGGTCTTTGGGGAACAGGGCAGTCCAAGCTTTCGTTGTGAACGAAACTTGAGCAAAGCCTCCAAGAGAATATAGGGCCAGATTGGGGGGGGGGGGTGATTTCCAATAAGGAGATGAACCAAGGGGAATATGCATCTAAGCTTTGATTGTCAAAGAAGACTGAAATTTCATGTGTTGGCCCAGCCCTAGCGACTTTAGGCAGGAAGGGGTTAAAAATAAAAAATAAGGTTAAAATCAGACAGGGCTTTAGAAATACGGCTGGTATCTTGTTCTATGCTCACACAGCTGCTTGGAGAAAGTCATTTTGGGCTGGAGAGTAGAGTCTGTGGAGCAGACTACATATGATCTCTTGGGCAGGGTGCATAGTCGTCACGTGGTATGGGGCGCAAGTCTAGCACACAGGAAGCTCTGTTCCCACGCAGCGCTGCTGACAGCTGTTCTCACTTCCCCAAACTGGCAACATCAACCTCTGCCGTAGAAGCAACGGCAGTAAATGATCTGTTGGCACTCCCTGTGGAACAGGAGTACCAGGCAGGCACGCTAGGGAGCCCTTACAGGAAGGGTTTCTGGAGGAACGGAGACCTTTTAAACGTAAGGATCTGTCTGCCTCTAACCATCATTGTAAAAACTGAGTAAAATGTGTTCAGTATTGTCTTACTCCCCCCCCCCCCCCGCCCCGCTGTGATGAAATACTCTGATGGCAGCAACTTCAGGAGGATAAAGCTTGTTCCGGCTCTCACTTCCCAGGGTATGGTCCACCAGGGTGGGTAGTCATGGCAACAGCAGCTTGAAGCAACTGGTTACATCACACCCGTATATGTGGTTACACTGTTTACAGAATTTGCCAGTCTGTTTCTCCTGCAAAATAAAGTTGTGCTGAGTTGCTTTCCTTTCCTTTTATGTATTTCTCCCTTCCATTAATTGACTATTTTTCTGGGCTACATTCAGGCTTTCTGAATGTAACTCAGGCTAGACTGTTTTGTTTTTTTTTTCCAACTTCCTAGTCCCTTTTTTTAAAATATAATATTTCTATTGATTATTTGGGAATTTCACATTGTGCACCCTGGCTGGAGGTCACAGGGGAGAGGGAGTGGACATGGGAGGATCGGGAGGTCTTCTTGGTTCTTCTTGGCAGGCAGCAGCTGGCAACTCTCTACTGAGGCTTCCCAACACTAGAGTTTTTAATGTTTAATGGAAAACATTTATTAAATTTATCTTTTTAACTGACATACAGAAATATAATTCTATATATTATTGGAGTACCATGAATGCATTGGCTAGTGCTTTAATCAGGTTAAACATCTCTCCTGTTTCTTTACGATTAACACATTCAGAATCCTCTTGGAGCTTTGTGACATGTACACCACATTATTTTTATCAATACTTACCCTACTTTGTAATACTCACGGGAATTTCTTGCATTCTTGTCCAACTGTAGCTTAGTACCTACCCACCAACCTTTCTCCCTGCCCCTCCTACTACTTAAATTTTATAATACAAAAGTTTCAGAGAAAGCAATCATAAATATATTTATTTTTGAAGGAATTACTTATTGACTCAAATTATCCCTATCAGGAATAAAATTCTCTCTCTCTCTCTCTTTTTTTTCTTTTCCCCAACATGCTGTTATCGATTTCTTTTTCTGGTGGTAAAATACTGTGTTCTTTAACCCTCAGGGAGCATACACTAAAAGAAAGATTTTTTTTTTTTACATTGTGGCTGTCAGAACTAACCATTAACATTTTCACATATAAACTTTTAGAAGTTTTCTTCACACGCACGCACACACACACACACACACACACACACACACACACACCACTCCTTATGGGCCTATGAAGGACATTTTCATTCAAACCACCACAACCCACTATCTGTGAGGGTAGGGATGGCAATAGGAAGGCCACACAGCATGATCCTGAAGACACTTTACCCAAAGTGAAGTTCTCTGTGCTCAGAGATAGATATAAAATATTGCCCACCAATTTCTCTTTTTTAAGATGTAAAATCAAATATATAGATTTAAAAGTAACATACTGATTAATAAATAATGTTAAAATTTAAATCAATAAGATGATTAGAGTCAAGCTGAGCATGATAGTATATACTTGTGGTATAGCACTCACGAGGTTAAAGCAAATGGATTATGAGTTTAAGGCCAACCTCAGCTATATAGCTATCGCTTGTTTCAAAATGCAAAAAATATCATTTTTTAATTAAATTTTTATTTTTTTATATTAATTACAGTTTATTCACTTTGTATCCCAGCTGTAGCTGCCTCCCTCCTCCCCTCCCAATCCTACTCTCCCTCATCTCCTCTTATGCCCCTCTAGAAAGTCAATTTTTAACATTTTTACTAATCATCACCTTTTACGCTGTTAATGGTTTAGGGTATATTCTTTCAGAGATTTCTGTTCCGTTACAGAACATATTATACCTATAGTTAGGAACATATATACTTATAAAATACACATTTATCCCTAGGGCTTTGAAAATGCAAATAGGATGTATTATAAATGTCATTTTATAACTTTTCCATTTAGTAGCTTTTATAAAAGAATGGCTCAATAGTTGCTGCAGCTTTTTTGTGTCCTTGCTTTGATAAGATAATATTTAATCATGATAAAAAATAGTGAAAGATGTACCATGCTGAAGCAGAAAAGACACTGAGGGTTGCCCTTCCCACTATTAACAGTTTATTGAATTGACAAAGCTTGGCTGTTTTTGATGACGGTGGAGACACTGGTATCTATTATATAGTTCTGCTTATTTTTAAATTCTTTAGAATTTGCAACAATGAAATATTAAAAAAAATTTAAGGCCTTTTTTTTCCCCCAGTTACTGAAAGCCTTTATTTGATCCTTTACCCAGCAAAAGCTTGAAGATGCCCTCACCCTATTTGTGCTATATTTCATCTGAAGTCCAAGTTTCTGATTTGGTCTTCATCTATAAAGCAGAAAAATAATGGTTGTAGTTGAAGGATGTTAAGTGTAGAAATCAAGGTAGCTTTGTAACAAGGTGGTACTATTTGTGACCTGAAACAGGCTCAAGACAAGGTGTCCCTGTGGTGGGGCTGGTGGTGGAAGGAGGCCCTAATGTCATCCTCTCGGTATGGGAGACTGTCAAGAACCAGGAGCCCGTGGTGGTGTGCGAGGGGACAGGCAGAGCTGCTGACCTCTTGGCCTTCACCTACAAACATTTGGAGGATGGGGGGTGAGTTGTTGACCCTTCTGTTTTGAAAACAACATGACTGTCCATTCTTCCACCTTGGGCTTTCAGGCTGTGCTCTTTCGTGGGCCGGACACTTTCACAGCACAGGCTAAGGCAGTCCTCTTTCAGTGGCTGGACTGTGCCCCAGACCCCTACCTGTATCCAGGAGGGTTGCTGTTTTTTTTTTTTTTAGCCAAGCAGTGGGCTACCGTTTTAGGCGTTTAGACCGTTTGAGAATATTATGCCTGAACTATGAAGACTCGCTGCTTTCTGGATCCCTATCAGCTTGAGAACACTACCTTAGAGTGTGCTGCTTCAGGGGATCCGGAGGACGAATACCCCTCCCATTAAAACTCATCCTTCTCTGCACCCCTCTTCCTGCCATGGATTTGCTTCTTGCTAATGGGGGCAGTCTCGAGGGCAGCCTCCTCAGTTAGGTACCCAGATGGAATTTCTTGCACCAGTGTTGCTGGCTTGGTCTCTGCTATGGGTTGCATCAAGTTATGCCCATTTATTTCTCTGCCAGGATTCTGCGCCCTCAGCTGAAAGAAGAGATCTTCTGTCTGATTCAGAACATGTTCAACTTTAGCCTCAGACAGTCTAAGCACCTTTTTCAAATTCTAATGGAGTGCATGGAACACAAGGATTCCGTAAGTATGATGAATTGACGTCTTAAAAAAGGCTACCTTCCAGGAGATTTCACACTTAAAAAAAAAATGAATGGCATACCTATTTTCAACTTTGATGGATATAACTCTGCAAAACTGGACCTTTGAGTTGTGTGAACTTGTCTTCCTACTGTTCCACCCTTCTTGCTTTAAGTGTCAGATTCTGTCTGGGATAAAGCACTTAAAAAAAAAAAACAGTATTACAAGAAAAGTTACCAAACAAACACTCGGAAGTGTTGAGAGAGCCGCTCCAGGTGTCCAGTGAATCCGTCTGCTGTGTTAGACGACCACACCACAGCACTGGATTGAGAATAGCAGGAGGTCTCTGGGTGTGCACTGGACAAGGGCAAATTTGAGAATAAAGCCTGCAATAAAAAATGTAGTTCAGAGCCAGGTGCGGTGGCACACACTTGTAAACCGAGCACTTGGGGAGGCAGAGGCATGTGGTTCCAGGCTAGCCTGGTCTACAAAAGTGAGTCCAGGACAGAGAAACCCTGTCTTGAAAAAAATGTAGTTCAGCTGAGTATGGTGACACACACCTTTAACTCCAGTGCTTGGGCAGAGGCATTGGCAGAGAGACAGAAGCAACTGGCTTTTGAGTTCAAGGCCAGCCTGCTTTACATGGTGAGTTCCAAACTAGCCAGAGCTATGTAGTTAGACCCTGCCTCAAGTAAAGCAAAAAGCAAAGCAAAGCAAAGCAACAAAGGGTTATGACTATCATGCAGACTCAGGAAAACTGCTTTGTGTTTTAGGAAACTATTTCCAAAATTTTTATTGCTGGCTACTAGGATGATATGAAGCAGAAAATGAGAGTAAATATGCAGATATGTTGCCATTTGTAGTGATTTCTCCAGAAATAGGAAGCTTAGCAAAATCATAAAGGAATTGTGTTGGTGCTAAAGCTTCTAACCTGACAAAACCAATGGAGCAAGTTCAAGCACAGCAAGAATGCACACGTAAAACCCTTTGGCATCTTCAGTGACCACAACCCTGTTTATAAGTAGCCACATGCTTTTAAATCTACTCTTTCATCTGAAATAGTTCCAAGGATGAGTTCAAGATGGCAACGATTGCTCAATTCCATTTTAGAAATTACGCAGCTGAACACTAGACAATTTTAGTGATTTATCCAGTCGTCCAGCTAAGAAATGGCAGGCTTGATGTGAGCTCAGAGGTGACACCCTACCATCCTTTTCTTAGTTAGAAGGAAAGGCCATGTGAGTGAGATTACTATAATGCTTGCTTCTTTCTGTCATTATGTAGTGTAATTCCTGAACAGTGAGCAGAAAGAACAAGAGTGACGAAAAAAGAGAACTGGGTGCTCACATCCTGTATTATGTGAAATATATTTTCACTTGGAAAGTATGTATGGAGGTAGACATAAATATATGTAAAGTCTAAACATCTAGAAAGGAGACCAGGTTAATGATGAAGAAGGGTAGGGGTGGATGTGCATGGGCAAAGAATGCATGGGGTATAAAGAGGAAAAGGATCTGTGGGAAGGGTACAAGGGGATGCAAGAATAGCAGAGGGTGAGGAGATGGAGGAAAACAAGAACCACAAAAACATTATATGTTATTAAAAGGTGTCACAATGGTAAGTAACACATTATATACTGATTTATTTTAAAAGTCATTCACACACTGGGATGCCCTGTGCACTTTGACACTGAGAAGGCTGCAGTTGATTGTACCAGTCATGGGGTCCAGGGTCACCATCGTACTGAGTTTAGGGTGAGCATCGGAGGAGTCCCTTATCACTGTGAAGCGAAGGTCTTAGTTTCTAGGTTTAAGTGAGCACGGGGCTCTCACATCCTTCTCATTCTGACGGAGGGATGAGTTCATTTGTATTGGGAGTTAACACAGTTTCTTCCTGAGGCAGGTGAGTACTAAGTTCTATGGGATTTTATTTTTCCCAGGTGCCTCTAATCTTCTGTCACCCTATTTGAAACAGTTTTTCTTCTACAAATAGAATAAAACCATGCTGTTTTGAAATGACAAAACATGGAATATGTTCTTCAGTAGTTTAAATGTTGACTTACTGGTACCATTTGAAGACATTTCTAAGGTAGTTTCTAAACTGTGTGGGCCTTCTGATTTTCACCCATCACAGATTACCATATTTGATGCTGATTCTGAGGAGCACCAAGACCTTGATTTGGCAATCCTCACGGCTTTGCTGAAGGGTGAGTGACCCAGCAGGTCTGCGGTTCTGCCTCATTTCCTGTTCTCCTGTCCTAGATGTTTCTGTGCTTCTCACCTAGAAATTTTGGGATAAAATATATGATTATTTCATTCTTTCCCCCCTAGGTACAAGCTTATCACTATCAGAACAATTAAATCTGGCAATGGCTTGGGACAGAGTGGACATTGCCAAGAAACATATCCTAATTTATGGACAGCATTGGAAGGTATAATGAGAATAAGGTTATTTGAAAAAAAAAAAAGTAATTTGCATATTGTTTTGTTAGGGAGGGACAAAGATAGAATTGGAGAGGTAGGTATCATTCTGATGGCCAGGAACACAGGGAAGCAAAGGCATGCCTCTTTCTTGGTTTGTCTTCCTGAAAACAAAATTTTACTGGCTTCATGGAAGCTTCACTTAGAGGTTAAAAGATCAAAACAATGGAAATATTTTTAAATTTGTTTTTTAATTGAGTGTGATTTTGTGTTTTATTATTTGGAACTTAAATATTTTCTTAGTGTTTTGTTTTACATTAAAATGTAGCATTTATAATGAAACATGTAGAGACTACCACAAGAAGACTAAAAGCAATGCATTCTGAGCCCTTAACCTCCTAACCTATTGAAAACACAATGTGTCTTCTGCCTTTGTACTTGCCTTGCTTCTACACTGTCAATCAGCTTTGTTGTAAAATGCCAGGTTAGATCACAAGGCTAAAACAGCTATCGGAACCCATTGTGACTAAACCAAGATAAGAAAAACTAGTGTGACCTTAAATGACTATATAAATGACAAGCACAGTTGATGCGAGTAATTATTGCCAAGGAAAACCTTATTCCACAAGTTGTCTTCAGAAAGACTTGCGAGTCACCTCAGAGGTCAGCATCCATCAGAGTGAATGTCAGTCTGCTTTGGGGCACACCACTGATGGTAACGGTTGTCCAGGGTACTTTGTAGACACTTTAGCTAAAATAGCTGGTCTGCTAGAGAGCATCCAGTCATCTGATCGAGACTAAAGTGGGAGACAGGCCTTGGCATCTTTGTCTTCGTATTGTCTGTCTCTTTGCCGCTCAGTTTCAAGTAAGACTCTGCTCTGCATGTAGATATGAAAAGTAGTTTGTTCAAGGTTGCAATGAAGGCTTAACCTGACCGCTGCTGGCTGCAGCGTGCCTGCGTTTCTTCTGCTCATGCATTCTCTTCAGTTCAAACACTGGTGGTCCTTCATCCCTGGAACGAGCCTAAGAAGTTTGTGCAAGACGAGGGCAGGACCCTTAATTCAGAAGCTTCTGAACAGAGCCGCACATTTCCTAGTCCACCAAGTACGAGACCAGGAGGCTGGTGCATAAGAATCTTGTCTGAAACTGTGCCCACGGCTAAGGGACAACCACCAACTCATAGACCGTTCCCCTGAACGAATCTTTGGTACCACTACTCAATAGTAGTGATGATCACCACTAATTTTACTGAAAATTTTTGTGATTTTTACTGCAGTTATGTTTCATTCAAATTAACGTATGCACATGGTTTAAAACATCCAATATAGTTGCAAGGCTTTGAAAATGATGATTTTCTGCTACCACGAGCCTTTCACACTTGACGTTTTTGACGTCTCTGATATCTGTAACTGTCTAAATTCTAAATTGTGTCACATGATGTCTTCTGACTCATCAGTCTTAGAAACTCCTTGACCTCTCTATCTCGCGGGTCACTCCGCAGTGTCTGAGGCTGCCTTCTGGTTTTGCTGCTTAGATGTTATTCTGGGATCTCCCTCCCCAGCATGGGGTCTTCTTTCCCCTCCGCTGTGTTTGCTGTGCCTCAAGATTCCTTCTCCAGTTTAACTCTTTTGTAATGATTGCATGAATCAGTAACTTCTTAAGAAAGGATATGGAAGATAAATCCACAGAGGACCTAATATGTGGCTCTATTTTAATTCATGGTTAGGAATAGTTTAATTTTTTTTCTACTTTTTTGTTGTTGGTGGTGGTGCAGGTTGTGGTGGTGGTGTTAGGGGTGGCAGAGGTAGTGGCGGTGTGTCACGGGGGGAGGGGAGGGTACACACATGCCAAGGCACTCAAGTGAGACTAGAGGAAAACTTTTTAGAGTCTTTTCCTTACACCTTAATGCAGGGTCTAAGGGTCCATTTCAGGTTGCCATGTTTTCAGGGTGAACACTTTTGCCCTTTGAGCCATCTTGCTGGCCCCAGAACTTTTTTTTTCCTTTCTACAGAATTTTGAATGCCTAGCACTGGTCTGGTGCTAACAAATGAACGTAATTCTGTCTTTAGGTCCATTGTGGTAATTTTTTTCTCTTTCCTGGAAGTTTTTTTTTTTTTTTTTTTTTAAAGATTTCCTTTCTCCAAGGTTCTGAGCTTTCACAATGGTGTGCATTAGGTCTCATCTTTATTGCTTTTCTATTGCTGTGATAAAACATTACGAGCAAGGTAACTTATAAAATAAAACATTTAATTGGGCTTGTGGTTTCAGAGGGTTAGGGTTCATGATGGTGGAGTGAAAGCAAGGTGGCAGGAACTGCTGAGAGCTCCCATGTCAAAACCACGAGCAGGAGGCAGAGAGGCACGTGGGATACGGTCCACATCTTTTCGGCCTCAAAGCCTGCCCCCAGTGACACCCCTCCTCCAACAGGGCCATGCCTCCAAATTTTTCCCCAACAGTTCTCCCCACTAGAGACCAAACATTCATCTCTATGAGCCTATGGGGCCATCCTCATTCACAACAGCAAAGGTGTACAGATTCACTATGCATGTCCTTTCAAACCCGTGTTCATAGTTCCATTCCATTCTCTTTGTTTTCTCTGCTTTTTTTTGTTTTTCTTTCTGGATTTCTGTTTTCTATGTATTTAATCAGTTGCTTCTAATCGTATTTCTTGCTTTTCTTGTGTTTGCAGTTGGTAGGTTTTCTCAACTTCTCAGCCTCAGGGAAGCCTTGCTTTTTGAGATAACAGAGGGTTAGTCTACTGATTGCTAAGAGCACATTCGTTTGCTGAGTGGACTTTTCTTTTCTCCGTGTTCAATGGCACCTGGAAATAGATCGTATTTTATCTGCCTGAAACTATTAATAATCGTTGTTTGGAATCTTTCCTCCTGAATTATTTGGTTTCGTTTAGATTTTTTTTTTAAATCCCCTTGTGTTGAACATCTTATTCAAGGGTGGAGGACAGACTGGGAGTTATTTTGCACCCTGTGAGTTTGAACTTTAGCAAAGAATAATCTGATGCTGTTTGCTGGGGGACTCCCCTCAGTGTCAGCACGTTCTTGTCTTCTCTTGCATTGATGATGATGCTGGAAAGGAAACGTGTATACTAGCTGGGAGGTGTGAGACTCATAGCTCGTGGTAAAGGGTCAGGTGGAGACAATGCTTTCCAAGTCCCAACATTAGACTGAGCACGTGTGCATTGACTTAAGTGCAGTATAACTCTTATATGACATTGATCTGTGTGGTTCTTTTTTTATTTTATATGCATTGGTGTGAGGTTGTCAGATCCCTGGGAACTGGAGTTACAGTTGTGAGCTTCCATGTGGGTGTTGAGAATTGCACCCGGGTCCTTTGGAAGAGCAGGCAGCTCTTAACCACTGAGACATCTCTTCAGCCCCCATCTATGTGGTTCTTGATGCTTCTCACTTCGACTATTTGGTTTTTGGGTGGATTGTTGAGCCAACCACCACTTGACCAACTGTTTTGGTGTTGTCCTCAGTGCTGTTCTCATTTCCTCTACCTCTCACCCAGGACTTGTGAATTGATTTGTTTAAATAAATCCCTCTGCTATGGGTTTGGAATTTTTGATAAGGGAAAAATTACATGAATATGTCCAATATGCCACTTATACTCCCAATCCAGGTTAATGAATTTAAATAGAATAATGATGATACCAAAAACAAACAAACAAGGCTGGGTGATGGTGGCGATGATTGCCATTAGTCCCTCGGAATGCAGAAGCATGCAGATCTCTGAGTTTGAGGTTGGCTTGGTCTACAAAATCAGTCCAGGATAGCCAGGACTACACAGAAAAAAACCCTGTTTCAAAAAAAAAAGCAAATTAGAATTATCTTTAAGACTCACCATCACTTTGGGGGAACTTTGAGATTGTTACAGTGTTTGTCTTTTCTCACACAGGAACATGAATCATTCTTGACTATGTCTTCCCTAAACTATGTCTTCCTAAGGAGATTGTATTTTATAATGATGGCGTCTCTGCAGCGGTATTCTTATTTTTCTTATATTAATTGTCTTTTTACCTCTTTCTTATTTGTGTCCCCAAAAGCCTGGAGTTCTAGAACAAGCAATGTTAGATGCCTTAGTGATGGATCGGGTGGATTTTGTGAAGCTTTTGATAGAAAATGGAGTGAACCTCCACCATTTCCTCACCATCCCCCGGCTGGAAGATCTCTATAACACAGTGAGTATGGAACAGTTTGTGCCATCTTGCTCAGGATTTGCTTGCTAGATAGCTTATGGTTTGCCTGTTTCCTCCAATGCTCATGCACCAACTTAGTTTTCAGAAATGTGGACTTACTTTCCAGCTAAAGTCACCTTACCGATTCCATTTGTGTATGAGTGTGAGAGAAGAGATTGCATTATCTATCTATCTATCTATCTATCTATCTATCTATCTATCTATCTAT